TCCATTAACCGAATTTTTAATGTATTCATTTTGATCTCGAAACATTGTTCCAAGTAATGTCTCTGGCTGAGCAGTGAGTGTTGATCGAAGAGTTTCATACTAAAAAAAAAAAAGCATAACATGTAAGTAAAATATGTGTAAGTAAAAAGTAACAAAATTTACTGTTACCCATTAATACCTTAATGCCTCCAATATTTAAAATAATCTTTTCATCCGACATGTTACGTGAACTTGGAATGGTTTGTTTTTTTTTCAAGGCATGTGAAAACGTACGTACGTTACTTTATTTTTTTGTTACACGTACTGTACGTGCGTACGTACATAAGCACATTTATACATGAGAATACGAACGAAAAAAATTATAGAGAGAATAAAATAAAAAATAAATAAATAAATAAACAGCTGACTACGCGCCTAGGAAATTATAAATGCCTTACCGAACAATGATTTTTAGACATAAAAATCGATGATCCAATGCAAATTTGCGCATCTAATTTCCGATTTTTAGCAAATTTCGTTTCTTTTTAGGATCTTTTATTGGGTTGATGAAATGATAATCAAGTTCATGAACGTCAAAAATGAGAACGGAAGATTTTGCTAATCATTAGAGTTGACATTAAGTCAGCAAACCGAAAGGATGCTAAGCAGAGGCAATATGCCTTCGTAAAACCAGTAGCAGAAACAGTCACGACCATGTCAGGTATGATTTAAATAATCTCCCATATGCAATAATCGGTAACCCAAAAACAATAAAGGTTGCTGTGAAAATAAAATCGAATTCAAGGGAAATGCGAACCTGATCCTGCATCAATAATCACCAACCCCTCCCTCCAATGGAGACTGTCATTTTCATGATAAATACTGAATATTTACATCACATGTTCATATTGACAGCCAACGTTAGTTTTAATTACGCTTAAATCACAACTGACATAAACTGCATTCGTTAATAAAATCAACTCCAGTATGTCAAACCGGATTACTTCTAAATACAATAGTGATTACCGGACTACGTACCGTATGACGACCAAAATATCTATTTACAATTTTAAGTTTAGATAAGACTAATCAATATTTTGTATATAAATTTTCAGAAAATCAAGTTATGAAAATCATAAATCATCACGAATAAGAAATTAATAATAGATACATAGATTATTTCAAAGACTTTGATTAATAAATAATATTGACTGAATCGAATTGAATAAAAGACTTTTTATCGACCAAATCAGCACGTACAATAAATAAAACCAGTAAAAATGCATACATTGTTTTCGAATACTTTGATTAACAATTTTAATTTCCGGGTTAAATTAACCAAAATAAATGAATTAATGCAAAAATTTTTTAAACATATTTTAGACTATATTTACAGACTAATTTAATATAAATATAAAGAAATAGCTAATTTCAAATACACCTACTATTATGAAATAAGAAACAAATTAAGTGAATAAGTATTATTTATTATTCACAACGGTGGGAATAAGAAATAAGTTACCAGTTATATGAGGGCTCGAATAGCCCTCATATAGCCGGAGATCTACCAGCATATGAAAAATAAGGGTATTTTGTATGATGTCGGATCATATAATTTGTAGTGATTTCCTTTTGATCTACAAATTTCACTTATGCATCTTCATACATGATAAAACAGTATAAATGCCATAAACATATTCAAATTTATGATTATCACCGATCTTTGAAGGATAAACAGATTTTCTCCTATAGTCATGAGACTCAAATTTTTAACGTTAAAATAAATTGGATAATTCGAAATAAATTGAGAATGTAAGTTATACCATATTTTCACATGAAAAATGATTTTAAAAATGTATAGGATACCCATTATACGTAGACAATAATATAAGATAAGAAAAAAAAGCTTATCATCAGGGTAGTGACATGTAATATTTTTTTACTATACCCTCGACCCCCCTCCCCCCACGTAAGAGAGATTGATTGGCTATTATAAATTTATATTTCTACATAAGAAAATCAGAGACCCCCTCCCCCCTCAGAATATTACGTAATATCTGTTATTACCCTTATTACTGTATACCATATTCATCCGTTTAATTAATGCATAGTATTTAATTCATTGATGAAAGTCAATAGATAGATAAGCTGAAAGCAATCCAGTTAGGTCCAAGTTTACAGCAATTAAACCAAATCGAGCACGAGATGATCTGGGGTGAGTAAATGAAGTCAGGTAAATATTATTTAATTAACAAGTTTGCAGAAAGAAGTAATCACATGATGGATAAAAAAAAAATCCAATCAAAAGCATGGATTTGTACAGAAACACTTCACGCAGATTTACAAACTTTTCTTCGATAATCGCTATCAATTTGAAGTTTTGCGCGGATCTGATATATATAAATAATTAAAGATCTGCGCAGTTATGAGACAAAAAAATTACCCAATGTCACAAATACAACGGTTTGCAAAATTACGTGTGTGAAATTTGCAGATCAAAAAAAAAAAAAGAATTCGATTATTATTGTTTGAAATCATCGATTATAATCCATTATAACGGATTTCAAATTTATTATAAATACATGTACAAAAATACATGTACAAATTTATAAGTTTGAAAAGAAAAATAATTTAAAAAATAATCTGAAATTATTAAATTATTAAGTAAAAATTAACAGAAAACCAATATGAAATTCAAACTTTTTCTGCTCTTATTGACAATCTTTGCAGTTGCTATTGCCTTGGCACGTCCAATCTATTTGTTATATGTTTATTCATTTATTATCTAAAATAATGATTAGTCCGTAAGTATTTAATTTTTTTATCCAATACTGTATCTTTTTTATTTGTTTATTCATTTATCTAAAATAATGAATAGGGCGTAAGTATTTTATTTGCTATCCAATACTGTTATCTTTTGAGACTTTTCAATTTAAGCTTTTGTTTATATATAATTATTTAAATTATAAATAGGTATAAGTTCTTTATTCTATAATCTAATATTATTATTATTTGAAAACTTTCATTCATTTAATCTACATATACAATTATCTAAAATAATGAATAGCGAGTAAGTATTTTTTTCTGTTTACAATACTATTATTTTTGATTTTTTTTTAATTTAATTTCTTTGTCCGCATAATTATCAAAAATTATAAATAGCAAGTAGGTCTTTTATTTGCACTACAAAAATGTGTACCAGGTTGCTACTCTGGATGATCACATGATAGTCTGAAATGAATATTCAGAAAATTTTTGAAGTTTGATTTAACAGTTAAATTTTACATATTTCTTTTCATTAATTATATACTTTGCACAAATATTACAACACATGATAATATGTATACATTTATAAATGTTTAAAGACTTTTACATTATTATCAACTTTGTTTGCTTGTGTTAATGTTTTTTAATAAAATACTTTTTATTTTGGAAGTTTTTCTTTTTTTATGTGTTTTCATTATAGTCAGGTTGACATAGTGTTCCTATTGAACCTAGGTTCAAAGTTCATGAACATGTTCAAAGTTTTGAATAAAGAAAAAAGCATATAATC